AGAAGTTTCAGATTAACATGAGCATGATACAGCAAAGATGAGAGGTTTCCAACAGTTCGTCGCCTGACGGCCATTATTATCTCTCTATACAAAGGTACATCAGACATTACTGAATCTCCTGATAACATGACCAACTAAAGGTAGAAGATTCAAACAACAAAACATCTGTTTGTGTGAAATAAAGAAACTGCTTAGAATAGCGGATTAGCGAACTACGCACTATTTTGCTGACAAGACTAACGCTTTGAACCATCCACCCGCCGTCTTCAAAGAGACAAAGAAGAATTCACTTATATTCGTTTTAATGGTGCCAGCCTTGTCATCAGTCAATGCGTCGCTGTCATCGGATTAATGGGCCGTATCGAATAAAAACAATGGTTCTTGACCCTAGAAAGAGGTATTCTTGTTTCCATACGGTGCGTTCTATTTTTCTCCATCATATGTTTTGTCTATTGGTCACAGCCAATTGTACAACAACGGAATTTCTCACCATTAGCTTTGACAACTTTGAAAATTTGGTTTCACCTCCTTCCTCTGCTTATCTGATGGAAGTCACTTCCTCTGACAACATTTTATTTGATGTGATGCAATGTCTGTTATATTCAGCCTTAGTTTCTTAAAGGTTGTTGACTGTTTCGCTCAGGAAAAGCACGCAACATGTACAAACTCGTTTGCACATCGTTCTGTTTTTTTGGTTGTTTCTTCGTTCCTAAGTAATCCACCCACATGTATATTTGCCAAAAAAACAACAAACGATTCGGATATTTCAGTAACCTACATTTCTCACGATATCTTGCAATTTCAGTATATCCACAAGTCATTCAGACACAAATCTCTCGTTCTTAATACGCTGATAATGACACCCTGATATATGCAAAAAATCACATTCCCCAACAATCTCCACCTGCAACATTTTTCCTTTTCATATGATATTTAAAAATTAGACTAGCCACACAAAACAAATGGTTCTTCAGTTCGAAAATCATTACATTTATATGATTTATATCACTGATAGACGAATCAGTTGCCGGGAGTCATTTTCAACTACTAGACTCTTGGTTAATACGATTCTACCCATTCAAAATAAGT